GGGTCAGGATGTCACCCGCGGGGACACAGGGACATTCCCGGTGTCACCGCGGGTCAGGATGTCACCCGCGGGGACACGGGCGCGGGCGCCGCGCTCCGCTGGGCGCACACATGCCGGACACGACCGGGGAGGTCACCGGGGCCACCGAACGGCCACAAAAGGCCGGGGCCAGCGCGGAGGGGACACCCGGATGGCGCTTAATGGCCTTGGCCCCGAGGGCAGGACGCGGAGCGGACGGACACGTGGTGAAAAGGCAGGTGTTGGGAAGCGGGGCCCGTTCCATGTCAGTGGGCAGGGAACATCCCGGCTCCGGGATCGCGCGCTTTTCCTGCCGCTTTTCCACGCGGCCGGAGCGGGAAGGGAGCGCTGGTCTCCGCTCCGGCTTCCGCGCGGTCTCTCCAGCCGTATCCGAACCCACGGGGTTTTTTTTCCAAGACGGACTCAATCCCGTCTTGGAAAAAACAAAGATACCCCCGAGGAGCCCCGAGCAGTGGGACAACAGGGACAATCCCCGCTGCAACGAGCTGGCCCCGGCGCTAATGTCACTTGGAGACACGCGGACGGGAGCGCTTTATCCCGGCGGGATAAGGATGGGAGCGCACGGGAGCACGGAGCCCCTCCAAGCTCAACCCAACTCCCCTTTTTCCAGCTCCGTTAAACCGGGATGGACGGAGCAGCGGGAAGCGGGAGCCGCGGGGAGGGGGGACCCGCCGGGAGCACCGGGCGCCAAAGGCAACGGAGCGGGATGCGGCGGACACGGATCCAACAGGAGAGGATCGTCCTGCTCCGCTCGCCATCCGCGTGCGGAGGAATTGGGGGAAAACATCGGGATTGTATCCGGTTATCCAGCTGCAGGCACGGATGGGGTTAGGGCGTTAGGCGCGGGATAGAGCCCGGCCGGGTTCTTGGGTCGGATTTTGATTCCTGAAACCGAAAATCGGATTTTCGGTTCCGCAAACGGGCTGGGTTTGGATCCTGGCCGTGATCTCCGTGATCCGGGGTGATTTCCGCGGCTTCCCGAGGGAGCCGGGAGCTTCGGAGCGAGGCCGAAGCACCGACGGCACCGCGGGCTGTGCCCTTAATGGGGGAGCCCGAGCGGGCGGGAACACGGGAATGACGGGAGGCCAAAGAGAGCGGGAACTCGGGAATGACGGGAGGTCAAAGAGAGCGGGAACTCGGGAATGACGGGAGGCCAAAGAGAGCGGGAACATGGGAATGACGGGAGGTCAAAGTGAGAGGCTGCGGAGCGGGAACACAGGAATGACGGAAGGTCAAAACGAGCGGGAACACGGGAACGACGGGAGGCCAAAGAGAGCGGGAACATGGGAACGATGGGAGGCCAAAGCGAGTGGGAACTCGGGAATGACGGGAGGCCAAAGAGAGCGGGAACATGGGAACGATGGGAGGCCAAAGCGAGTGGGAACTCGGGAATGACGGGAGGCCAAAGAGAGCGGGAACATGGGAACGATGGGAGGCCAAAGCGAGTGGGAACACGGGAATGACGGGAGGCCAAAGAGAGCGGGAACATGGGAATGACGGGAGGTCAAAGTGAGAGGCTGCGGAGCGGGAACACAGGAATGACGGAAGGTCAAAACGAGCGGGAACACGGGAACGACGGGAGGCCAAAGAGAGCGGGAACATGGGAACGATGGGAGGCCAAAGCGAGTGGGAACACGGGAACGACGGGAGGTCAAAGTGAGAGGCTGACGGAGGAGCGGGAACATGGGAATGACAGGAGGCCAAAGTGAGCGGGAATATGGGAACGACGGGAGGTCAAAACGAGTGGCTGTGGAGCGGGAACACGGGAACAACAGGAGGTCAAAGCGAGCGGGAACACGGGAATGACGGGAGGTCAAAGAGGCTGACAGAGGAGCGGGAACATGGGAATGACAGAAGGCCAAAGCAAGAGGCCAACAGAGGCGAGCAGGAACATGGGAACGATGGGAGGTCAAAGCAAGAGGCCGATGGAAGCAAGCGGGAACGCAGGAATGATGGGAGGTCAAAGAGGCTGACAGAGGAGCGGGAACATGGGAATGACAGGAGGCCAAAGCAAGAGGTCGGTGGAAGCAAGTGGGAACACGGGAATAACGGAAGGCCAAAGCAAGAGGCCAACAGAGGTGAGCAGGAACACGGGAATGACGGGAGGTCAAAGAGGCTGACAGAGGAGCGGGAACACAGGAACAACGGGAGGTCAAAGCAAGAGGCCGATGGAAGCAAGTGGGAACACGGGAACGACGGGAGGTCAAAGCAAGAGGCCAAGAGAGGCAAGCGGGAACACGGGAACGACGGGAGGTCGAAGCAAGTGGGAACACGGGAATGACGGGAGGTCAAGGCAAGCGGCCGGGGAGCGGGAACATGGGAACGACGGGAGGTCAAAGCAAGATGCCGTGGAGCAGGAACACGGGAACGATGGGAGGTGAAGGCGAATGGGAACGCGGGAACAACGGGAGGTCAAAGCAAGAGGCCATGGAGCAGGAACGTGGGACCGATGGGAGGTCAAGGCTGGAGAGCTGATGGAGGTGAACGGGAACACGGGAACGACAGGAGGTCAAAGCGAGTGACTGTGGAGCGGGAACATGGGAACGATGGGAGGCCAAAGCGAGTGGGAACACGGGAACGACGGGAGGTCAAAGTGAGAGGCCGATGGAAGCAAGTGGGAACATGGGAATGACGGGAGGTCAAAGCAAGAGGCCAAGAGAGGCAAGCGGGAACACGGGAACGACGGGAGGTCGAAGCAAGTGGGAAATGACAGGAGGTCAAAGCAAGAGGCCGATGGAAGCAAGTGGGAATGCGGGAATGACGGGAGGTCAAAGCAAGAGGCCAACGGAGGCGAGTCGGGACACAGGAACAACGGGAGGTCAAAGCAAGAGGCTGGGGAGCGGGAACATGGGAATGACGGGGGGTCAAAGCGAGCGGGAAGACGGGAATGGCGGAAGGTCAAAGTGAGTGGGGACACGGGAATGACGGGAGGTCAAAGCAAGAGGCTGTGGAGCAGGAACACGGGAACGGCGGGGGGTCAAGGCGAGTGGAGAACATGGGAATGACGGGAGGTCAAAGCAAGAGGCCGTGGAGCAGGAACACGGGAATGACGGGGGGTCAAGGTGAGCGGGAACACGGGAATGACGGGGGGTCAAAGCAAGAGGCCATGGAGCAGGAACACGGGAATGACGGGAGGTCAAAGCAAGATGCCGTGGAGCGGGAACGCGGTCCCGCCGGGGCTCCCGGCACTCACCGGCGTCCAGCAGCAGCGCG